GTCTGTATCCCAGCACTTAGGAGGCTGAGGCAGGAGGAGCATTGCAAGTTCAAGACCAGCCTGGGCTACACAGTGAACACAAGGCCAGCCTGGACTGTACAGCGAGACCCAGTCTCAAAAAAAAAGTGTGAGGGGTCTTGAGAGCACAGCAAGTATGACCAGGGCTTTTTGGCTTCATGGGCTTTCATTGTCAGTAGCTCCAGATTGCAGTCAGATTCAGGAACTGTAAGTCTTTTTTCGCTGGCTCCTGAGTTTCTCCAGAGACAAACCCTCTGGTATCTGCCCCCATGGAGTAAGCCCCACTGATGGGGAGAAAGCTGCGCCCGTCTTGCCATTCGATGTGTAGAGTTCCGCAATCCGTTTTTATTCCCAGGTGACATTTTGCTCCACCCTTCGGTGGTACCTTGTATGACAAGGTCCAGAGCCTCTGGTTTAACTATTGTGTGACTTAAACTTTTATCTGTTTTGGAGTAAGGAGAGGTAGTTGCCCAGCCTGTGGTTAGAAGAGGAGGTGTGGAGTTATAAGCATTCTCTCTGGAGACTTCCACCTTACCGCCCTGCTTCCACTCTGCTCACAGATACCTGCTGCCTCCATTTTTTCATGCTTTCCTGGTCGCTGAGGCTCACACCAAATTGTTTTTGGTTTTTTGGCCTATCACCCATTATAGGTCTAGGTTTTAGCCTTCTCTCATTTACCAAGTCAGTTACTGCTTGTTCACCCTTCCAAAATGTCATTAATACAAAGATTTAGCAGTAGTAAGTGTCTTAAGGTTAACATCAGCCACGTGTGGTGGCACATGCCTGTAACCCCAGCACTCAGGAGGCTGAGGCAGGAGGATTACTGTGAGCTCGAGGCTAGCCTGAGCTACGTAAGTGAGTTCCAGGTCAGCCTGATGAGACCCTGTCTCAAAGGAAAAGTCAACATTATCATGTGAGCAAATTCTAGGAATCAAATTACCTGTTTTCTACAAAGATTTCTGACTTGTCATGACCTTGCGTTAATCCTTCATGCCTTATTTCCTTTCTTCTAAGAGCATTTTTTTTTTTTTTTGGTACTGGGAATCGAACTCAGGACCTTGCACTTACCAGGCAGGTGCTTATGCCACTGAGCTATGTCCCCGGCTCTTAAGAGCATTTTTGAGATATAATTTACATATAATATTCACTTAAAGTGTAGATTTTAGTACATGTACAGGATGTACTACAACAAAGTCTAATGTTAGGACCTTTTCATTACCCCTCAAAAAGGTTCCCCATCCCCATTGGCGGCCACTTCCCGTCTCATCCTAAAACTCCAGCCGTGAGCAGCCACTAACCTGCTTTCTGTCTCTATAGATTTGCCTCCTCTGGACATTTCCTATTAACAGAATCATGTAACGTGTGGTTTTTGCAGTTGGCTTATTTCATTTCTCCTGTATTGTGGTTCATCATGCCATGGCATTTATTACTTCATTTCCCTTTATTGTTACATAAGCCTCTATCGTGTAGCTGTGTTTTGTTTATCCATTGATCGGTTGGTGGGCGAGGCTGGGGTGCTTCTGCTTTTTGACTGTTATGAATAGTGCCCCTGTGAACATCTGTGTGCAAAGTTTTGGGGTGCATATGTATTTTTTTGGGTGTATACCTAGTAGTGAAATTGCTGGGTTATGTGGCAACTTTATGTTTAACAGTTTGAGGACCTGCCAGGCTGTGTTCTGAAACAGTGAAATTTTATATTTTCACCAACAGGGAATGAGAGTTCCCATCTTTACCAGCACTTGCAATTATCGGTCTTTTTGATTAGAGCCATCCTGTAGGCTAGACTGGTATTTCTTTGTGGCTTTGATTTAAACTTCCCCAGTGACAAATTATCCTGAGTGTCTTTTCGTGTGCTTATTGGCCATTTATATATCATCTTTGAAGAAATGTCTTCTTTGGAAAAATGTCTATTCGGATCTTTTACATATATGTGTGTGTGTGTGTGTGTGTGTGTGTGTGTGTGTGTGTGTGTGTGTGTATTTATTTGTTTGTTTGTTTGTCTTTTTGAGACAGGGTCTCCCTATGCAGTTCAGGCTGGCCTTGAGCTCACTTTGTAGCCCAGGCTGGTCTTGAACTCGCGCTGATCCTCCTGCCTCAGCCTCCCAAGTGCTGGGATTACAGGCGTGCACCACCATGCCTGGCTTTGCCTATACTTTAAATTGGTCATTTATCTTTTTATAGTTGAATTGTAAGAGCTTTTTATGTGTTCTGTATACTGGTCCCTTATCAGATACATGATTTATAAATATTTTCTTCCATTCTGTGGGTTGTCTTTTCATTTTTTGAGGGGGCCATTTGAAGTACAAAGATTTTTTATTTTGATAAGCTCCAAACATCTGCTTGTTTCATCACTTACACTTTGGTGTCACGTCCAAGAAATCATTGCCTAACCCAAGGTCAAGGTCTTTTCTTGTCTTCTAATAATTTCTCATTTTAGCTTTTTCATTTAGTTGTGTAACCCTTTTGCAGTTAATTTGTGTGTGTCATCTCAGTTACGGATCCAGACCCATTCTTTTATGTGTGGACATTAGATGTCTCAGCACTGTTTCCTAAAAGTGCATCTGTGTCCTGCCGTTTGAAAATGGTGTGTTAAAGCGCACTCTGAACTCTTCACATTCAGGCACACTCTTCACTTTGGGAGGTGATCAGAGGGTGCAGAAGTAGATTATTGATCTAGGCGGAAAGTTTTACCCAAACTTATTTTGTGTATTTTAAAGGCATAAAACAACCTTACCAATAGAATTATTTATCTGGCTTGGTCATTGAGGGCAAATTAAAGGAATTTTAAAGTCTTTACATCCTCCATTGAGAAAAGCTATTAATTTTAGCTTTGACATCTCTGTGTGTGTGTTTGTTTTTGTTTTTTATTTTTGACAGAGTCTTGCTATATAGTTCAGGCCAGCCTTAACTCACTGTGTAGCCCAGGCTGACCTTGAACTCCTGGCAATTCTCCTGCCTCAGCCTTCTGAGTACTGGGATTACAGGCATCCACCACCATGTCCAGCTTGACTACTTTTGTTCATGACCAACTTACATGTTACCAGTTGATTAGAAGAGTTGACTTACCATTGTTAAATAAGTAAATTCAGGAATCGGCCCTGTGACTTTTGACTTGAAGCTCCTGATTAAAACTGATTTGTCTCTCATGTTTTTAGCGTTTTATTACCAGGTATTGCAGGTTATTCTGATTGAGTCACATCCTTTTAATGAATCATGATTCCAGCTCTTCTAGAGGATAACTGTCCCCAGAGTGAATTGTGCATGTTCACTGTCAGATTTAACTTCCCTCTTCCCAGACTTTAGACAAATCTGTCTGTCAGTTTGGTAGCAAATAGAAAGAAGTGCACTGATTTATGTAGTTTAAGATTTTCCAGCATATAGTAAAGGATTATTTTAGCTATTTTAGTTAAACACATAGAGAACATGAAAGTTCATTGTACTATTCTATTGACTTTTGTATAGTTTGAAATTTTAAAGGATAAAAAGTTTTTAAGAAGCACATGGTGTCTAGGTTATTACATGTTTTGAATTAAGATGCTAGAAATTGTTGCCCTCATTGTGACTGGCCTTGAAGTTGCTCTCTCTGGCTCTCCTTCTAGATTCCTCTGACATCTCCCCTTCTCTGCAGGTGACGTATGCTGCCAGGGATGCCCAGATTTCAGTGGCTCTCTTCCTTCATCTTCTCGGATACCCTTTCTCTAGGAATTCTCCTGTAGAAGCAAGCAGCGGCCACAGTGGCTGGAGAAAAGTCTTGGAGAAATGCTGCGACGTGGTAGACATCCCCTTCCGAAGCAAGGGAGTTAGCAGATTGGGAGACAAAGTGAATGGGGAAGCAAGAGGATCTCAGCAGAAGCCAAGAAATAAGTCTAAGAGCGGTGGCGTGGTGCCAGGCAACCACCAAGGGAGAGACCCCAGGAAGAACAAAAGGAAGCCCCTAGGGGTGGGCTACTCTGCCAGGTAAGCGAGTCGTGCCCTGGTTGGCAGAGTCAGCGACGCCGCAGAGAGTGTGGTGCTTGGCTGTGGGCGGGGCACAACTTGGGTCAGGAAGTGGAGGCTCTCCTTCCTTGCTGCGGGGACGTTTGGACCAATCTTTGCTTTATTTATATATTCTTCTTTTCGTCTTTGCTGTCAGTTGCAGTGGAGATGAGGCGAGCTTAGTCTAGCTTTGTTACTGAGCCCACAGTGACCTTGGATCTGTAGCTTCTCCTTCTATCAGTGGGAGTGTAGTTGTTATCCTTCACGTGTTAGCGTAGTTGTAAAGTGAGTGACATGCAGTGCCTTACGCTTTTCGGGGAAGACATGATGAGCTTTCTTCCTTGCTTGGTACTGTGGATGGGTTAGGGTGGCTCCGCGTCTCAGCCATTATTTTCTAGGGGGTGAGAGGCCTCCTGTGCGATTGTAGCTCTGTTGTGGGATGACGTGACTAACAAATACCCCGCAGCAGAAGTCTGCTCCCTGCAGAAAAGGGCTTTTAGTGCTTGGGTGATGGACCGAAGGAACGATTGTATGTGAGCAAGAAATAAATCTGTGTGGCCCCATTACTCTAGCTTGGACTTTTGCAGTTTTAATTTACTTTGTTTAGTCCAGACATGGGGTCGTTCTCCCTGTTGCTCTGATCCTGTTTGCGCTTGCAGCAGAGCTGACTGCTCATGGTCCAGTCGCTAGTATAGAAACAAGAGGCATCAGCAGATTCATCTGTGGTCCTGCCTCTTGACCCAGTGCCGTAGAGGACAGAGCGTGGCTCTTGTTCCGTTCGTTCGCGTCCTCGGTGTGCCTGGCCCTGATGCTGAGCGTAGTTTGAATCTTTCAGAAGAGAGCAGGAAGGCAGCAGGTTCCTGACCAACAGTGAGCGTTCAGTGTGAGGTCTCTCCCTTCCCTGCAGAAAGTCGCCCCTTTATGACAACTGCTTTCTCCACGCTCCTGACGGACAGCCCCTCTGCACCTGTGACCGAAGGAAGGCTCAGTGGTACCTGGACAAAGGCATCGGAGGTGTGAGACTCTGCTCTCGTGGCTTATCGATAACCTGGGGCATATGGGTTCTGGCGGGAGCAGAAGGGAGAAGGGTGGACAGAGAAGGTAGGGAGGCCCTGAGACTCATGGGATTGGCTACCGTATCCCAGAAATAGTGTTCTGGGCCGGCAGTGGGGAGCCCTGCAGGGACCGTCTTCCTGGGGGCGGGGCAGCGCAGTCAACACTGACACTGCTGCTTTTCTCTCAAGAGCTGGTGAGTGAAGACCCTTTCGTGGTCAAGCTGCAGTTTGAGCCTGCAGGGAGACCTGAGTCCCCGGGAGACTATTACCTGATGGTGAAGGAGAACGTGTGTGCGGTGTGTGGCAAGGCAGACTCCTACATCCGGTGAGTGTGGCGTTGGGCGGCCCTGCGTGCCTGCCTCGGACAGAGGTGCCCTTCGTCAGCCTGTGCAGAGCTCTGAGTCTGCCCACTCTCGGCTGAGGGGCTCGGCTCCGGGGCGTCCCCGTTTACCCAGGGGCCTCGGCACTGCCTGGCCACCTCCGGTGCCCTCATCCCTCCCGAGCGGGTCCTTGGCTCCAGGACGCAGTGTTAGTCCCAGTAATAATAAAGTCGGCCGTGGAGGAAGTGGCTCCCTTCTGCTCATGAAGGACCGAAACTCCCCTTAAACCCTCCTCTGAAGCTCTGACGCTCTCCAAGCCTTGTCACAGAGCAGCCAGATGACCCGAGGGCTGCTCTTTCATGTCAAGTCCCACGCCAAAGGCGAGGCTGCCCGCTGGCCCTGACGGCCCCCACTCAAGCCTCCTCCCTGCCCTTGTGCAGTAATTTACTTCCTCCTTTCTCCCCTTGCAAAATGAAGCAAATAGCTGTCTCCAGGACTATTACCTGCGAGCTTATTTCTCCTTTAAAAATAATGATGGACCTAGGTGCACCAGAGAAATAGTGGCAGAGTAAGCGGTTCTCAGATGAAAGAAATTGGCTTGTTCGGGTCATCAGGCTCGAGGGAGCTGTTTTCCAGATGTCAGAAGCTGTTAGAACATCTTTTCATTTCTCTGAGACTTCTCCATCTGGGAGTGCGCTGTCTCAAAGGCGGTTATTACCCTCTGCCTGCCCAGCCCTCCGCTGGAACAGGTGGGCGGTCTTCAAGGAGAGAGAAGGCGGAAGCACAGGAAGGTGGGGGGAATGAAGGCGCAGGTAGTGCTGCGAGCTGAGCGTAGTGCTGCCTTCATACAGTCGTGTTGGGTGTGGTGCCCAAGGCTTCTCAGGGCAGACTCCCAGCAGCCCACCTGCTGGCTTCACGTGTGTTCTGTGTCCTGTGCTAACGAGCGTGCTTCTCCAGGAAGAATGTGATCCCACATGAGTACCGGAAGCACTTCCCCATTGAAATGAAGGACCACAACTCCCACGATGTGCTGCTGCTCTGCACTTCCTGCCATGCCATCTCCAACTACTATGACAACCATTTGAAGCAGCAGCTGGCCAAGGAGTTCCAGGCCCCCATCGGCTCTGAGGAGGGCTTGCGCCTGCTGGAGGATCCTGAGCGCCGGCAGGTGCGCTCTGGGGCCAGGGCCCTGCTTAATGCGGAGAGCCTCCCTGCCCATCGGAAGGAGGAGCTGCTGCAAGCACTCAGAGAATTTTACAGCACCGATGCCGTCACAGAGGAGATGCTCCAAGAGGCCGCCAGCCTGGAGACCAGGTACAGCAGTTCCTGTCGGAGGAGGGGTTGGGGAACACCCCAGGGACGCCAGCCCTCACTGCTTCCTGAGAATGCTTGCCAGGGCAGGGGCAGTGCGGGCTGCACTCTTCCCCGCCTAGGTATCCAGTGGTATAAGACACTGTGGGGATGTCCGAGAATGGTCTGTCTGGAAACTTCACCTGCATAGGAGACTGGCCTTTCGTGAGGGTACCCTTCACCCTTTAAGATCATATATTTAAGTCCAGTCATTTTGTGGTTAGCGTGGGACTATGAACTCGAAGTTGCACCCTGTGTGTTCTACATGGAGGTGGATCCTGATGTCAACACGAAAGATAAAACAATTGTTCGATAATACCCTGAAATTTCTGAAGTTGCCCTGGAAGAACAGTGTGTGTGATTTTGTGTGTCTGGCCTTCTATATAAGTTGACGAGAACTTCAACCGGAGGGTTCCATTTCTTATCTCGTCTGTACTCCAGGGTATTGGCGCACGGAATGGAATGCTGAGCAGAATTGCCGTCCTAGCGGTTATTTTCCTTCTTTCCTAGCTTCTCTTGCCTTCCCATAAGTACATGATGCAATGAACGTGGCGTAACTCAGTGTTCTTACGTCCTGAGAGGTGAACGGGTGCCGCGCTCAGGTGGTGTCAGAACTCTGGCTGCTGTGCGTAGGGTTGCTTCCCAAGTGTCGCTTTTTAGGAGTAGATGTCCATGACACCTGATAGGGAAACTAGTTCTCTGTAGTGTTTCGTTATCAGTGAAAAATAAAAACTTTATGGCAGCAAAAGATTTATTCAAACGTGAAAGTGTTTATGTCGCGCATGCTACTGATCCGTCATAGGTGTTGCCAGTATTTACTGAACAGATGCAGTATTCATGGATACACTGTGCTGTGTGCCACAACCTAATAAACCTTACATAAACTACCTTAATTATTTCTGATAACAACCTGATAAGATAGGTTTAGATCTCTCATTGGTAACTGCTGATAGTATATCTTACCTTATAAAAGCTTTTAAAGTTCAAAAAAACTATAGTTCAATTTTATCCCCATAACTTTTCTGTGTACTTACAGAATAAGTGTTATTTTCTAAGTTTTATGTTAAATATCCTGAGGTTAAAGGTAAGTAACTTGCTACGGTCATATTAAAATCAGTGACACTGGCTCCATCGATTCATTCCCAAATGAAATTTCTAAAATAGCCCCTCCCACTTCAGCCATGCCTGGACCTCTGATGAAGGTCTGCATCTTGCTGAATTGGATAGACAGGTGAATTGGATAGCCTGGATTGAGACTGAGAAGAACAGGTATCAAGACAGGCCAGTTAGTGGGCTCCGAGTTAAATAGTAAACCATCTGCAAACATGCAGAGGGCGCTAACGTTGCTAGACCCCAGGGGCTTGTGGGAGAGAGGACTGAGAATGGAGTGCGGACGGGGGAGAGGCTGGCGGTACGCAGTGCTTCCTTGCGAAAGGTCAGCGTTCTTCCCCCGACGGAAAACTGTTCACACGGTGTCAGCAGTTTTCAAGGCTCCCCGTCTGCCTGTTGGGAAGGAGCAGGGCTTCGTCTGCTCTTCCGCAGCACCATTTGTGCAGCTGGGCAGCCAGAAGGGCATTTCAGTGTGACTGTCCGTGGGCTCTGACATTCCTCTTGCGGGAAAAGAGGCACTGAAGAAGGGTACCGTCTTGCCCTTGCGGTTAGCTGTCACCGTAAAACCAGGACCGTAAGGTGACTTGTTTCTTCAGTGCTGGCAGTTGAGCCTGGACGTTACTGCGCTGCATTCTCAGTCCTTTTTATTTTTTTTATGTTGAAACAGGGTCTTGCGTTATACTCCAGATGGGCTTGAACTTGTGCTCCTCCTGCCTCAGCCTCCTGAGTAGCTAGGATACAAGATGATTTCACGGTCTCTCTTCAATACTGAGAAGGGTTCAAAATAATAAATAACTTAAAGAAGAGTGGTCACTGAGTAATTGTGGACTAAATAAAAAACCAAAACTCTGCAGCCACCGTCAGCCAGACGGTAGGGCCGTCCTAGTGCTGGCAGAATAGCATACAGTGGCCTCCCTCCAGGTATAGCTCAGAGCTCCCCAGTGTCTTCTGTTGGATTATGAACTGTATCCCATACTTTTAAGAAGAAAGCAGAGCTGGACACATTGGTGTATGACTGTAATCCCGGGACGTCGGGGCTGAGGCAGGAGGACTACAAGTTCCACCTCACCTGGCCAATGTAGTGAGACCCTCTCTCAAAGTATAAAAAGAGCTGGGGAATGTAGCTCAGTGTAAAGGCACTGGGTCCAACAAGCACCACAAAAATTAATAATTATTATAATGGCAGGGATGAGAGAGAGGGTGTTTTAAAACATTCAAGCAAGCAGCCCTTTAGGAGTCCAGCCACCTCCCTTGTGCTCTTAGCCTGCAGTGCTGAGGCCGTCGGGGAGAATGTCTTGTGCTGGTTTTCCTCACGCCTTTCGCGCTTTGTGTCTTGGCAGGATTTCCAACGAAAGCTACGTTCCCCATGGGCTGAAGGTGGTGCAGTGTCACGCCCGAGGTGGGCTGCGCTCCCTCATGCGGCTGGAGAGCCGCTGGCGTCAGCACTTCCTGGACTCCATGCAGCCCCGGCACCTGCCCCAGCAGTGGTCAGTGGACCATAACCACGAGAAGCTGCTGCGCAAGTACGGGGATGACCCTCCCGTGCAGCTGTCGTGACTGCGGCTCTCCGCCCCGTCGGGACGGTGGGAAGCTGGAAGGAAAGGCTGGAAAGCCCCCTCGTCCTGTTTTACTCCATCACTGCCCCGCCCGGGTGGCCCCACTCAGTACTAACCTGTAGTCCCAGGGTGCTTTTTAAGTGAGGGGAGCTCATGGTTTTGTGTTTTCACTGGGCAGAGTATTTTTTTTCCTTCCTCTTATTTTTGTGCACAAGAGAGGCCTTAGCCTTTCTTTCTCTCTCTCCTGCTTGCCCTTTGAAGAGGGAAAATGAAGACTTCTCCCTGAAGTGACGTGGCAAGATGCTGAGAAAGTGGGTGAGAGTTCTTCCCTGCCCGCCCCGGTTTCCCTCCCGGCAGATGGGTACTGTGCCAGCCCTGTCAGGAGGGAGATGTCCTTACAGAGGGTGGAGGAGTGACCCAGGAGTCACGTTCATTTTCCCAGGTCAGCCTCAGAAGTCTGATTTTCCTTGCTCTTCCGTGATTCATCCGGTTGGGACCCAGCCCCAGCCACCTAGGTTGCTTTGGTTTATTTCACATACTTGAAAATGCTGCCCTTCACACATCTGGGACCAAAGCAGCGACTTCTGCCGTGTGCGTCTACCCAGCACGGGGCTGACTCCCTGCCTGAAGCCGGCCTCCAGCCTGGACCGGGTCTGGGAAGGCCGCGGTAGCTTATTCAGCCTTCCTCAGTTGTTCGTTGCCTGCCTGTTGCCCTCCTGCCCAGAACCGTGAGGTTTTTTAGCTTGATCTCTTTCTGAGGGGAGATTATCTGTTCTTAGAACCCGTGTCATCTCCCGTCAGTGTTCCAGGTGCCATCAGATTTGCAATGCTGACCTCTTTTCACACTGAATTCACTCCCAGAGCCGTGTGGTCAGGTTGTGGGGTGAAGACTTCGCCTCCTCTGACGCCCGGGACCCTGAGATTAACTTGTACTTTAGATGTTCAAGGGGTGAACGTTTCCTCTTTCAAAATGTTAGGCCACCACTTTGAGAATGAAATTGGTTTATTAGTGATTAGTATTTTTTCTAAACTATTAGTAAAACTTTCCTATTTTACAAGATCCTAATATGCTTGCAAGGCATTTTATGGCCAGACTCCAACAAGAGCTCTATTTTGAAATTGTGCCCAAGCTGGTGATAATTGATACGACGCTGATAAATAAAACTACTTTTAAGCACAAGGCCCACTGATTGTCCATGTGAAGCGTTGCCTAGCTTTCCGAATCAGTACGTGTTCTGGGGGAAGAGAGATTTACCCCAGCGGCCCCGGCGGCGTTGTGACGGGGCGCGGCTGCTGCGCGTGGATGCGCCGCACACGCAGTGCGCCGCGCCCGTGGCCCCTCCCGCCCGGGCTCCTCTGCCCCTCCTCTCGTCTGGTCCTCTCACAGGCCTCTGGGACGCTAGGCTGGAGCTGCTTGAATAGGCAGTACAAGCCGCTTTGGGGACACGTGCGCAGTGCTGTAGACGGCGGTCACAGGGCCTGTGCCTCTTGGCTGCGGAGCCCGGGGTGGAGGAGCGCTCCGGAGGTGGATGCCCAAGCCAAGTGTGGCGCTTGGTCCTGTAGGAGTCAGGTTGGCCACAAGAGGGCACTAAGAGATTGGTTTCTGTATTTATTCTTGGGCGACGTTTATACATGGTTGCGGAACATAACTCATGACCTGTGTTTTAAAATTTGTGCAGCTGATTTTGAGTCATTTTGATAGGTTGATATCCAGCCTTTTCCTCGTAAAGCGAGAGCGGGGCTCGCTCCTTCCCACAGACCCTCCGATGAAGAGGCGGAAACTTCAGCAGGTCACTGAAGGTGCCTGGTTGCTGTGGGCAGAGGGAGGGGGCTCTGCAGGGGAGCGTTCCGCCAGGCCCAGTGACACACCGCCTCCAGGGGCGAGCAGAGAAGGCCAGCCTGCGGCAGCCTGACCTCCCGTCCTTCTCAGAAGTGAGGGTCTTTATATCCTGAGTCTGTCTGGGACTTCAGCAGACTTTCCGTAAGACTACAGTGGCCATCTTAAATGAGAGATCTTTAGGGAAAATATTTTTTAAAGTGAGTATTTACTGTTTTTTTCTGATATAAAATATATGCTCATTAGAGAAAAGTCTAAAGACTAAAAATCCATCTTTGTTCCAACTAGAACAGAGCTGGACTTTGAATTTCCTTTTAGTATTTAAAAATGTCATTCAAATGACACCCAGGAGGCTGAGGCAGGAGAATTGCTGTGAGTTTGAGACTAGCCTGGGCTACAAAGTGAGTTCAGGGCCAGCAAGACCCTGTCTCAAAAAAACAAAACCAAAAAATGCATAAATATGCATATTTAAGCAAAAAGGTCATATATATATGTATATATATATTCTAATTTCCCCTTCGTGTATATGGTATCACAAGTAGCTTACTGTGTTTTAAATCTTTGAAAATGAGTTTCTATTATCCATTCTTACCCTGTTGAAAGCTTCATTTCAGCTCCTTTGTTATTATCATGGATGCCATGATAAATTTTTTTTTGTCTTTTTGAGGCAGGGTCTTGCTATGCAGTTCAGACTGGCCTTGAGCTCACTTTGTAGCCCAGGTTGGCCTAGACCTCATAATAATCCTCCTGCCTCAGCCTCTCAAGTGCTAGGATTACAGGTGTGTGCCACCACCCCTGGCTAAAAAATGTAAAAGTTTTAATTAAAAATAATTTTTTTCTTTGAAAGATGTTTCTATCAAGTAGATAAACCATTAGTGATTTGCCATCCGAGCTGAATGAGGCACGTATTCCCGGATTTGTTTCCACTTGAGTGCAGCCAGAACTTATCCCTGTCATGGATAGATCAAATGACCAAATGTTTTCATTTGAAATAAAGCCATTTTAATCCCTTGTTTCTGACTCTTAGAAACCCAGGAGATGCAGAGTTTTGGGTCAGCTTCTTAGTCTGCCTGTTAGTTGAGGCCCTGACCTCTGACTAAATGAAATTCACAGTTTACCCTGCCACTCTGAGCTTTGCCCCCCTTTCTTCCTTTTTTCTCTTACATCTCGTCTTTCTGAGAGGTACCTTTTTTCCTAAAGGAAACTTGCCGGTGTGCTAATTATTATGTTGTACTAATTATGTATTTGAAATGAACCCTTTGTTCTGGTTGCCTTTTCTGTGTAAGCTGATCCTAGCGAGAGTACTGTGTGTAATCCCTCAAAAACACAGCGAGGATCAGCTTTCTGGAGAAATGAGCTATAAAGGGTGTAAGAATGATTCTTTTTGAGACTACCCCTTGGTCTGAATAACATAAATTCAGAACCCCCCACAACTCTTATTTTGGAATTCAGCTGTGCTTTTCAGGCATTCCGGAGCCCAGTGCCTTCTGCCCATCCCCGCCCGCGAATGGTTTCGTGTCAGGCAGCAGCAGGGCTGACATGCAGCTGCCCGCCCAAGTGCTCCGCACTACCAGTTCCACCCCCACTGGGAGACACATGGGTCCTTTGCTTGAGGCACTAAGGTCCTTGCCGAAATGCCAACTCTGGTTAGAGGCTCCTACACTCCAGGCATATCTCGGCAAACTGGCTCATCATTTCCTTGTTTTTTATTTGTGGCGGGTTTTCTGTTGTTTTGTTTTTTATTCTTTTGAGACAGAATCTCGCCGTGTAGTCCAGGCTGGTCTTAAACTCGCTATGTAGCCCAGACTGGCCTCGAACTTGTGACCCTCCTGCACCCTCCTGCCCCAGTCGTCCAAGTGCTGGGATTAAAGGTGTGCACCACCCTACCCAGCTAGGTCATCATTTGGGTTTTTTTTTTTCTTTGTCTTTTTGAGACAGGGTCTTGCTATGCAGTTCAGGCTGGCCTTCAGTTCACTTTGTAGCCCAGGCGGGTCTCGAACTTGCTAAGATCCTCCTGCCTCAGCCTCCTGAGTGCTGGGATGATAGGTGTGCGCCACCACACCTGGCTTAGGTCATCATTTGGGAAACAATTGAGCCAACTTCCTTTGCACAGGAGCAGGAGTGTCAGAGGACCTAGTTCATACATCCTTGGTTGTGTCATTTTCTAGTGTGGTAGTGCTGCCATAAAGGTCGTGCTCTACCAAACGGAGGTCATTGATCTCACGCCCTGTAGACAGGACCCAAAGCATTTGTCCTCCTCCCACCCTCCTTGTTTGTTTATCAATTGTTAAATTTTTCTCTCTTACTAATGGAAAACATGTCGCCTTTCTGCCAGCATAGCCTTCAAAGCGGCTGAGTTAGGAGGCAGCATTATTAAAAGCACAGTACACGACTACTTCTGCTCCCTTCCCAAGCTGCAGTGTGCTGGGCACAGCTGGGGTCCCACCAGGGTATCTGTACGTCCTGGACAAGAATCAGACTCGGGGTTGGTAAGAAGACTGAGGAACGCGACTGAGACGCGGGCCGTTCTAAGGGAGACGCGTGTATTTGATTGGTGAGGGTGGGAGGGCTCCCTTGTGGCTTTAAAATCTAAAGATTTTGCGTCTTCCCGTACTCAGTTCATCATGTGTTAGGGATTTGGAGGAGCCCGATGATGACCTGGGTTCTGATTCCGCTTACCGTCTGTGTATCTCTGGATGAACCCCCTTACCTTCCTGGGCTCCTTTCTGTACTTACAGAGTTAGAAGTTTGAATCAGATGTGCGGCAGGAGCTCTCCGAGCTTTCGCATTCTGTACAGCACCCGTCGCTGCTTCTGTGGCCCTGTCCCTTGGCCGCTGTACCTTCTGCTCTGCTGCGTGCCCTCACCCTGCCCCCAGCCCTGGGGACGGAGACTGCACGGAACGCGCAGATGCGGGAAGCCGGCTGCCACACCACATCCCCTGGCCTCGCTCAGCAGGGAGAAGCCTCCTGCTCCACCCGGCGTCAAAATACCCTTCCTCTCGCCAGAGCTGCGCTGTGCGTGGCGCCAGGGCACTCGTGTGTCCTCTCCGTCCCCTGCGTAACCGTGAGGAGAGGGGGGACAGCTCGATCTCCAGCTGCATTGCCAGTGCTGGGCCGTTTTTTAACCTTCCAGAGTAGAAATGAGGCACGGGCATCAAGTGTTGCAGGTAGAAGGCCACTGAGGGAGGAAAAGACTTCCTTCTCTTCAGGACAGGACGGATTAATAGAGGGAGAGTTGGGCTGGGTGCCTTAAAAGAAAAACGTTAATCCAAAGTGTGAAATACTCTCTCCTTGTTTATGTTGTCTCGTCTGAGAACAGTTAAGGTGTTCACCCCCGAGCCCTCCATGAGACAAAGGCCTGGGGACCGCGGGAAGGCTCCAGAGCCCGTGTCTCACCCACCCTGGCTTGCCTTGGGCTTTGTCCTGCTCACCTGTCCTCTGCCTGGGTGTCAGCTGGGCAGATGTGTGCAAATGTGAAGTTGGCATTTTATGAGCCACAAAGACACCTCTGTACATACCCATTCCTGGGCTCAGCTTCAGTCCCAGAGAGACTGTGTTGGCTTTTCTTTGTGTAGAGTGGATTGTACCGAGCATGCTCAGTGTGGGTCTCTTCACACTCGCCTAGAGCAGTGGTGGCGAACCTATGGCACGTGTGCTACAGCAGGCTGTTTATGTCATTGAAAGCTCTAAAAAGTTCGCCGTCACTGCCTAAAGGGAGTCCTGATTTCTACCAAATATGGATCTTTTTTGTTGTCATTCCAGAAAAAATAATCAGCTAGCCGAAAAGAAGGCTCAAGTACATTTCTGTGCCCGCTCCTAGAAGATTGCTAACTGTGTGCAAGGTTCAGACAGCTCACTCGCATCCCTTAGAGCTGGTGAAAGCCCAGTCAGTTGGCTTCGTTTCCTTTAAATCAAGATACGGGTGTTGGGCCCTGGAGGGGTGGTCTGAGCCATAGCACATACGGCTTTCTCTGAGTTCTTGGATGCAATGAACGGGACTAACGTTGGCTCAGAAAAGGAACAGAAGATGACTTGGGGTAAGTTTTTCTTTTTGAAACATTATATAAGTGCGGAGCAGTTGGCTGCCATCCCCCCGACCCATCAGCAGAGCTTGACCTTGGCCAAGATTGTGCCTCATCCTCTCAGCGTTTCAGCGCAGAGTTGCGTTTCAGCTGTGGAATGCTTAACCAAAAGCACATGCTGTAGTGGTGTTTTCCAAAGAGCACGGTTTTGCAGAAAGTCCACATAGTGTTGTTTTCTGAAAACAGCAGCCTTCTCTGAACTACCGGTCCAGCAAGCCCTCAAACCGGCTTATTTGTACACAAGGGCTGGGGCTGTCATC